TTGAGGCTACTTGCTGCCCGAGGACAAAACTGTCGCCAGATGGTCATCGCACGTCTGCTTTGCTGTTCTCGGTAGGTTTCCTTTCACGTCTCATCAGTTCAGCATACGGTTCCGGTAAGACCGAATTCAACGGTGCACTGCTGCCGCCTATTGACAAAAGCGGCGCATACACTAAGGGAGACCGGAGAGTATTGTAACATTTTCGTCTCTAACTCAGTGTTTTTGGAGGTTAGCCTATGTGTCTCAAAATGTGATATAATATTCCTGTGTATCGTCTTCAAATCAAAGTTGATTAGAAATCAACAGCTTCTCCCTACACAGTGGAAAGATCTGTCAAACACAAGGAATTGCAACCTACCTTCCTCCTGCAACTGAACTACTGGGGTGGATTGTAACACCAACAGAAAATGTGAATATTTTGTCAAGTCAATTAATTTATGTAGTTCAGAGAACATATTATTTTGAGTTTCTATAAATTAAACGAATCTCCTTAATTGTATTCACTCATTTTAAAATGTTATGGCAAGTTAATTAAATTAAACCAATAATATTTTTAGTGCCACTACAACTATAATGATTTATATTATAATATTACTTTTAAATGTGTAAATATTATACACATATTTTATAATATTTTATATTTTTAAAATGTTCTGATATTTAATGCTAAAACGTAATGTACTTATTGAAACAAAATAAAAATAATAACCATATGTCACCTCAGGAGGGGGCAGTCATGTATGATAGTGACCCTGTAGTTCACTTTAGTGAAACTGATGGTCTTAGAAGCACAGCACTCTTCTGGAGTCATGGAGAGGACCTCAAAATAAAAATAATTTTGTAAATTTCTCACAGTCGGTTTTCTAACACTGAGTCACTTTAGAAGGTGCTGCTTGTTCAGCTTTTTATGCTTCTTTTGTGTTAAAAAAAAAAAGAGTGACCTTAAGGTTAAAACCACTGTTAGTATTTTTATGTTTCGGAAGGTTTAAATCACTTTTGTTTTCTAACATAATCCTCAAAATGCATGATTATAAAGAACTGAGTGTATTCAAAGCCCACAGTGATGAATCTGACTACAGGGATAGTTTGTATCATAGTATGATGTGTAACAAAAGAAAAGATTCATTGCCATCAAAGCAGAACGAGATAGATATAAAATGCAACATTTCATTTTTTTGTATTTAATCAAAAAACACTTGAGTGTCCTCGTGCCTGTAAGTCTCTGCCTAAAACTGTCGTCTACAGTATAGCGTCTATAAAATGCTAAAGAAATTATAGACATACAGACAGAGCCATGTAGGTGTGAACAAACATTCTCAAAGTATCCTGCGATAGGTCGTGACTTCGAGTTCTTTCCTAAGACACCACATTATGTTCCCATCGGAATAGCCTAACATTTAAATGTTACCTCAAATATCACTTCATTTCGCCTTTAATCCTCGACAGTTAAAAAAAGTCTGTCAGAATTATATTGACATTCAGTCAGTCAGGTTGTTCTTTCATAGCCTAGTGCAGTATCAAAGGCCTCAGTATGGATGGTTTCATGGGCTGAATTAATTCTCGAGCATGTCCCGGGAGCAGCCCGAGGGGGAAGATGAAGTATAATCGCTGTAATCTTTGAACTACTAACACATCTCAGAGCTAATTTGCTGCACTTCAGTTCTGCTATATATTTCTGTAACTTTCACCTTGCGTTTTGTGCCATATAGCATATTTACACATTTAAGGAATAGCGAATATTTTTGGGTGAACTCTTCCTTCAAGACAGTGAGACCCAACCCTGTTCCTGGAGGCCCCCCAAAAGTTTGGATGTCTTCTTAATCAAACACAACTGATTCAACTCATCAGCTCATTTGAAGAAGGGCGTCAGCATCATTACAGAAGGATCCAAAATGTACTCTTGGTGGGGTTCAGGAACAGGGTTGCAATGTGTTCCTAATTTTCATGTCCATTAACAGCTTTTTTTTTCGATCAATGTACTTGGATGCAAGTCAAAAGGAGGGAAGCTTATTGCCTATAGGACGGCATAGACTACAAACTACTTATGTTGATTTAAGAGCAAATGCATTAAGAGATGATTGTATTTCTTGAGTGGGACAAGTTCTGTATTCAGCTGACACTCGCTAAACCAATATATTTCGAGCACGTCCTTTTCCTAAAGGTCTAATCTTAGCCAGATATTTAACAGGAAGGTCTCTAATGTCAGACACCTATTAGATTAGTTGAATGTTTACATTGACACAAAGAACAATTCATGGACAGGCATTTAAGCCGTTCGTTCAAAAAGAGATCAGCTTACAATAAATGAAAGCATCAAATTTATCAAGTATCTGAAGTGATTCGGTTGGTGTTGACAGCATAATGGAAAATATTGGGAGTTCAATCCATTAGAAGCTTACTGACATCTTCAGCATGTTGCTTTTAAAATACTTCAATTGTGCCCCAAAGACAAACAATTTACCTTCATATTTCATACACATTATTCTAGGGCCCCATTAATAAAATGGCCTTTATAGCAGTCATGTTGAATAAAAGGGTGTTATGATGTGCATAACATTGCAGTTTCCCAAGACTCAACACACTCTTGATAACATTAAATCCTTATATAAAGCTGTCACAGACCGTCACCTGAAGTAGCAAACAGAATAATAACCCTAATATTAAATATAAAACCAATAAGCTTACAACTAATTTATTGTGATGATTAAATAATGATGCACAATTTAGAGAGCCCTTACATTATATTAAATAGGGATTTTACCTATGGGGTAACACTTTACTTAAAGGGGTGTTCATAAGACTGACATGACACCTTCATAAACATGCATAAACCATATGTCATGTCATGGTGATGAATCATCTTTCGCTCAATTTTAAATGAAAATATGACATTGTTTAAGATATCTTTGACATAAACCATAACATCATAACCTGTCAGTGTCTTTGTCATGACAACTTGACATAAAATTAAGTTAAACTGTCATGTGGTTGGCTTTGACATTGGCCGTCATGAGGCCATTATAACTGTGTCATGAATATGTTAATCAATGAAGATAGGTGGTTTCTTAAGTTTGATAATCTGCTATGTCATGTTTATGACAGGTTGTGTTGTCTTAGTAATGTCAATTTGTCATGACAAAGACACTGACCGGTTATGATGCTATGGTTTATGTCTAGGTGTCATAACAAAGACATCTCAAACAATGTCATTTTCATTAAAAATGTCATAACTGTGCGAGTGGCACTTAATGACAGTTGTCTAACATGCATAAAACGTCCTTCATATTCATATTCTTAACATATGTCATGTCATGATTATGAAGGTGTCATGTTAGTCTTATGCACACCCCTTCAAGTAAAGTGCTGCCCAGTTAAATTCAGTAAATTACACAATATAACCTAGGAAAGTATAGCGACAAGGACCAGAGGAGGCCAAATTTAGCAGAAGCAATTAACATTTAAGCATACAGAAAAACAAGAGCACAAGTTGAACACAATTACTTCATTTTAATTAATTAACGAAAGACAGTTATGAAACAAATTACACTTAACTTCCCCGGACGTGGATGGGGCGTGTGAGTGAACTGTGAATAATAATGTGAAAATAAGATGTAATAACTGTTCCATGACCGTGAATATTGGTATTCTCATATGAATAGCATGTGAAAGTGTTAAACTGCTTGCAATCCTTGCATCAGGAAGCAGCTTATTAATTAAAAACAGCTCTGATGAGTGTCATAACTGTATTGGTTGAAACCGATGATGTAAGATTTTGTCTCTAATACTCTTCAATGCTGCAATTATTTGATCAGGAATACTGTGTTATGTATCCAACTTTCCAAACATATTTTTTTTGTCAGAAATTTCTAGCAAAGTTCTTCATATTTTCCCCATTTCAAAATTGATATTGCTTTTGCCACCACTGGGCTTAGATCTACTATACTGTAATGGAATATTTCTAATATTAGAAATATTCTTTAGAAAACACAGCTACTTTTGAATGACCATCAATGCCCCAGAAAGGTGTAATTATAACATCTGCCAGCAGGGGTTATTAGACAAACCTTTGACCCTTGCATGGATCAATAAAGAAGATGTATTTGTTGTAATGATCTGCCATGAGACATAGAGGCCTTCATAAAATTCAATAAGAAAAGACTTGAGCATTATAGCTGGTTTTATTCACCATTTATGGAAAGACAGATAGAGCAACTTTTATTAACCACATGATATAGTCCGTTAAATACCATAGGAAAGAAAAATAAGAGCTTGTGTTTTGGGAAACATCCACAATGTCATAATGTTGGGTTCAGTATAAGCTGCATACGACTGCTGCAAGTCATTGTGTTTCTGGGAGAATAAAAACATAGTCTATTTAACTTTATTATGAAAATAGAATTTCAGACTCTCCAGGCTTGTGACCATCATGTGGCACAAATACTTTCCAGAATAAAAAAACATCTGCCCTGTGTTTCAAACAATTGCCAAACTTCACCGCTGGTTAAATGCCCATGCATTTCCACAAACCTAAACTATTCGTTTAAAAAATGTATGCAAACCATAACTACTTTGATCATGGTTCCAGCCATTGCCTGCTATGGAGATACAATCCACACAGTGAAGAAAAAACACTGGTGGAACCAATATAGGTTTTTGTGTACCAAACCCTAGAGGTCCGTTCAGAACCAGATTTAAGAAACATATATTTAGACATATATTATGTATTTGACGCAGAAGAACCCTCTCCCAGTCCTCACACACACTTATAAATAATTTGTTTTTGTTTTTTAGAGTCTGGCATGAAAAAAAGTACAGGAGAAATGTGTGTAAGTGAGATGGGAAGAGGCAGGGATGGAGGGAGGGATGGAAAAAAAGTTGTAGGAATGCTGCTTTTGTTTTTTATTGACTGAGGGCGGGACCTTCAGAAGCAAATATAGGGCCCGTGCTCAGTAAGACAAGTAGTACAGGACCACTTACCCAGTGCCCTTCATCCTCATCATTAAACTCATCATAGAAAAAATCTTTATATTATCCATAATGGGAAGACAGAAGGTGCTTCTGGAAAAGATGTCTCGGACCTTGCAGGTGCGGAACCTGCTGATGCGACAGGCACTGGCAGAATGTCTAGGCACCCTCATTCTAGTGGTGAGACATTTTTGTTGTTTTTGTCATTTATGAGTTAGTGACGAGATTTTGATTTCAGCTATGATGAAAAATCCATGTGTCCATTTTGGATGCTTGTTGTAAAGCAGTTTATTCATTTTGAGACAAACGATTGTAAATGATTAAAAAGTGTTACCATCCAGGAATGTGGCTACAGATTTGGAGGTGTTGAAGTTTAAACTCATTTTCTATAGTTTTCTTTTTTTTATTGTACTTTACAATATGTAATGCATATTAAATGTGTATTATGTATTTAAAAAAGCAATAAGCTTGATAGATGGACAATAAATCAATCACAAATGATGCAAAGATTGATTTATTGTCTTTGATGAGAATATGGAAGGGATAATTGTAAGACATCAAAAATAATCTATATGCTTTCATCTGCTGAAAAGCCTGAAATTTCAATTTTAGCTACACCTGACAGGAGTTTTACTTCTTTAACACTTCCAGATGAGTTCCTCATTTTGCAAATAATTTGCAGAGAGATGTTTTATGTTCTCTTCTGTCGGCCCTTTTGTAATCATATAATAATAATAAGTATTTCCTAAACTTTATACATTGTACTTATACTTTTTATACTCCTACTGTTTTTTGTTTTTTTTTTCTCAGCTTTGGCCAATAATGGTTATTAAACCATGGAATTAAATGAATGATCAAAGCTAAAATAATTTGTAATGTTGTAACTTTTTGTAGCAAAACGTCTCCTTTACAGAACTGACTGTGAGTTGACATAATGGGAGTTGAATTCCAAGTCCTGCTGATATACAATTAGCTGCTTAACACATTTCATGACCCTGGCCCAGTTGTTCAAAAAGTTTAATCTGGATCAGAATTTCACAATGTAGACTGCTATCTATGTAAAGAGCAAGGTAGAAGAGTCAATGTGGGGTCACTTTAAGTGTTTTATCTGAAAGAGAAAGAAAACCACAAACAAACAAACATTTTCAATTTCCCCCTCCATTTTCAATTTCCTTTAAAATAATTAGACCCCTATGGAGCTAGAGGGACATGGTGATGGAAAAAAAATGAAAAATGTATTTATGAAAAGGGAGAAAAATGATCCATTTTAATGATTTTAAGTTCCTTCTTCTGAGATCAGTATAATCCTGAATATTTGATCCAGATCAAAACCAAGATTGAATTTTGTAATCTAATACGATTTCAGAATCCATCCTATCTGATCAGATTACTTTAGAATAAACTGGAAAAAGTGAAATGAGAGCACAGGAACTGAGTTCATGTAACTATGATGCAGAACCTGATTTCACCAAGTGCAGCATGTTCCTAGATCAACATCCATATCCCTACCTCTAAACCTCCCAGTAAGTTATCCCTAAAATCAAAGGAAAATTAATTAAATGATGCACCTAACCGTGGTTTTAAGCCTAAACTTGACATAAAGTGTCAACTTGCCCCTAAAATCTTATTGGTTGATTGGAATGTTGTTCCAGGGTCAACAAATGTGGGAGAAAAGTTATTCTGGAACAATATTTGAAGAGTTCAGATGCAAAAGCCTCTAAATGCCATTTGAAATTTTCTTATTTAATGATGATTTTCATCAAACTTGTATATTTAAGTTCAGTAATTTCACTTAAATAACAATTAATAGGTAATTATCATTGCCATTTAAGTGAAATCACTGAACTTAAATATACAAGCTTGATAAAAATGATAATTCTAGAAGAAAATTTCAAATGGCACTTAGAGGCTTTTGCATCTGAACTCTTCATTTCCAGCTGTGGTGTGTGCAAATCCGTATATTTCCATTAGATGCCTTCTCCACCTCTGGGGGAGCTAAATAAAATTATAGGACAGGAATGTTGTTCCAGCATCAACAAAATATGTTGACCCATGATCGCTTCTAACTCGAGCTAACTAAGATAAATTATCCCTGAAATTGCTCTAACTCAAGCAAACAGGCACTGAAAAATAAAAAGCTGTAAAAAGTGATCAGTTAACTTTACTTAAAAAAGTGAGGAAACCCGTTAAAATTTAAGGAAATAAACTTCATGATTCAATTATGTGGAATTGTAAAGTTCACATAACTTAATTTTTTCAATCACGCATGAAGTTTGTTACTTAATAGTTTTAAGGCAACGGGTTTCCTCAATTTTTTGTAGTCAACTGATCACTTTTTGCAACTTTTTATTTTTCAGAGATAAGAAAATAAGCCAGGTCGGTCACAAAAACACATTGTCAGGGCCATGACAATTAATAACATTTTACTTTAAATTCCCAGTCTAATTAAAGCACTGAACACAAAACAAAAGCCTAACTAGAAAATATTTTGTTTTGTTAGTATCAGACATCTCCGACAGTAGCTGTTAATTTGTTTCTCTTCAGCTAAAGCTCAAGAGAAAAGTTGTTGCTACTGAGACTAATTTTCACTTCAACAGAACAATATAATATATTTAATTTCATCACCTGGTATAACATCTCGTATTGTTGTACTTTGTGCAACTTCAAAGCAATTAACAGGTAAGCAACAGCAACAAGATTTACGCAACAGTGTCGACAATTTAGAATTCAAGACAGCCCATATCCTGAATAAATCTGACACACCACAGGGGGATCACAGGTTAAACCATATCTCATCATCTGTTTTCATTTGAGAACTAAGACTCCAGAGCAGCAATATCTGTAGAAAAATAGAGCTCCCCCAAGCCCATCTGTTATTTTCTGATGGTACTGTGCGGTCTGAAACGAAAACCCCCCATTCAGAGGCTGGTCATGCGACTCAATAACGGCTGGCAAACACAGACAGGCTAGAGGGCATTACACAATGGAAGAGAGGGCAAGTACACATACTCATACACACATTATCTATCAAATCCACATGATGCACATAGCAGTTTGCATTCTTCCATAGCAGTCCTTGAAGAAAAATAGGTATGTGAGACTCTGTGAAACGGAATACGTCAAACCAAAACTTGCAATCATTCAATAATGATGGCTCGGACCTTGCAGGTCATTTTCACTAAGTTGAGGTTTATTTGCTGAAATTGTATTCTAATCTAAAGCTTAATTAGCTTTGTTAGGTATTTAGCTTAGCTTCTCCATCATATGTTTGATGTGCAGTCACAAACAAAAGACAAAAACCGAGCAAATGGTTAATTGGATTTCCATGCTTAATGTCTCTATTTGCAGATGTTTGGCTGTGGTGCTGTCGCTCAGTTGGTTTTAAGCGGAGGATCTCATGGAATGTTTCTGACGGTGAATTTTGCATTTGGGTTTGCCGCTACGTTGGGAATCCTTGTTTGTGGGCAAGTCTCAGGTAACGTTGGTCATAAGCCTCTTAAAACTGTCTTTAAATCTTAAAGCCTCTTAATTTTTTTTTTTATTATTTATTTTTATTTTTTCTGGGAGAACACAGGAAATTTCAGAATTCAGATGTGACATTTCAAAGCAGTGAGTCACATACAGCTCAGAACCACATATTAAAACGTCAAGGCTTTCAGCCAAACATTCACCAGATGGATTCAAACTGGCAAAGTTATACTACATTCTTTTCTACATTTAGAATTTTTTTTTTTTTTTTTTTAGATATTGAATCAAGGGTTGACTCATGTTTAAAGTTCACTCAGATGGATGAACCGGGAACATCCAGTTCCATTTTTGATGAAAAAACGAGACGATATCAGACAACATCAATTGGCAGTTATGACTTTAACATTTTAAACAGAAGAATAATGAAACAAAATGAGTGTTTTGGACTATAAGTGAAGTCTTGAAGTAAGGAAGTGGCAGACAGTTGAAAAACAAAGTTCCCAGACATAGATTAAGTGTAAAACCCACGGCTAAAAAGGTTATGAAAATGTTTAAGTTGAATTTTTGAAGTTTAATCCTTAAAGGTTTAGGCTTAATAAGCATGCAAACCAGCCATAAAAAGTGAACGTAAAGCGAGAGTTTATAGCATTGTGTCATTATCATTGTGTTCAGTGAAGATCTCATTTCAAATGTATCGTAAGATCGACGTGTTGAAACTTTGTATCTTACAGGAGGCCACATAAACCCCACTGTGACCTTTGCCCTCTGTGTGTTGGGGAGAGAGCCCTGGAGAAAATTTCCCGTGTACTTCCTGGCCCAGACTCTGGGGGCTTTTCTTGGCTCAGGAATAATATTTGGCTTGTATATAGGTGGGTTATAGGACTGTTAAAGTATTTCAATAATCCACATTTTTGTCAGTCCAAATCCTTTGTCAGTCTGTTGCAGCCAACAATGAAACTGCTCCGTTTATGAAGATGTTTCTTTAACGTATGCTATCTTGATGCTTTGCAGATGCAATTTGGGACTTTGGACATGGTTCTCTAATCGTTGTAGGGGACAATGCAACAGCCGGAATCTTTGCTACATACCCTTCTAAACACCTTACTTTGCTCAACGGCTTCTTCGATCAGGTGAGACCCAGAAATCAGCATTCGTTGATAATATTTTAAAGAATGTCTCAGTGTTTGTCCATACAATGAAAGTGAATGGGCTCCAATGTTATTTTGGATGTTATTTTGGATAGCTTTTGTGTCACACAGAAGAAAGAAAGTCACTTTTGGAATAACATGAGGGTGAGTAAATGATGTCAGAATTTTCATTGAGTGAACTATCCCTTGCTTTCAACACAGATGATTGGCACGGCAGCTCTGATTGTGTGTATCCTTGCCATTGTTGACCCTTACAATAACCCCATCCCTCGCGGACTGGAGGCCTTTACTGTGGGCTTTGTGGTTCTGGTGATTGGTCAGTCCATGGGTTTTAACTCGGGTTATGCTGTAAACCCAGCAAGAGACTTGGGACCTCGGATCTTCACCGCAATTGCTGGATGGGGCTCAGAGGTGTTCTCGTAAGTCACATATGGTTGACTATATACATTTCTTTCCATCCATTTCACTATTGAAATCATCTAACACTGATGTATGTTTCATTCACCACAGTGCAAACTCTTACTGGTCCTTTGTGCCAATCTTTGCCCCATTCATTGGTGCTGTTTTCGGTGTGATGGTGTATCAGCTGATGGTGGGATGCCATGTGGAAGGAGAAGAAAGAGACAAAAGGGAAGCATTGGAAAAAGAACAGAAGGACAGATTCAAACTCACTGCTGTTTCTGAGAAGGACACACCATAAGTCTGGGGTCAAATGGAGCAATTTTTTTAGTTTAGCCTCTGAAAATAAATTCTGCTTTCATGACAATACAGTAGCAAAATTGTATATTGTTGCAAAGATCATTAGTTATTAACTTAGGGGCCGCTTACACGACACCGTTCTAACTGAAAACCGTTAATCTGCTCAGGCCACTCTTCAGCACAACAACACTGCCTGGTGCCTTGGTGCCTCGAGAACGCAAACCTATAGGTTCCAAGGTGCAAGTCTTAAAGGAAAAAAATAATAATAAATATATATATATATATATATATATATATATACACACACACACATACTCATACTAATTAGTCATATTTTTGTACTGTATGCACAATTAGTTGAAAAATCGTAATATCACATGTTAGACTGGAAAACTGGAATAACTGGAAGAGAGGGCAACTGAGAAAACAAAAGGAAATTAACATTTGAACTCTCTTGCTATATTACCATCCTCATTCGAGACACAATCACACTTGAGTTGATCACCTCCCAATTTACACATCATTCCCTTCTTCCATCCCTACCTGAATTCACCCAAAAAATAGCTATATTTGGTTTAAAATGACCAATTATCACACAGTATTAACAAGTAACAGTTATCATACAGTACATGTTTGGATTCATTTAAAATGACTCAGTGTGACTGGTACGAAAGTCTCATTTCCACTGAAGTAAACCAAAAGGGTAATAAAATGTGGAGAGAAACACTGCTGTGCGTGTGCCCCCATGTACATCAATTTCTGTCCCCAGCAAGATTGGGACGGTGATTAATGCAAATTCCCACTGTGAACTCATGTTTAAATTTGAAAGGAGGTTTCTGCCTTGGTCTGAGTATTTAGGGAGATGCTGAAGAAGGCTTGTGGCGATTTTAATTCAAATTCAAGAATGTATGCAAAACACTTCGCATCGTGTATTTTATAATGTCAGGTTCGCGTCTTCTCTCTTTATTCCGCAATTGTTGCTTTGTATTTATTATCTTTGAACTGATTATGAAATTGCCATGAAACATTTACCTGACATAATAAATTGTTACATTTGATTTTATTCCGACTGACTCTGAAATTGTTTTCCCAAGTAGATTAAACAGATTCGAATGTTACCGCAAGTTTTGCGTCAGATTATTGGCGACTATTTGGCACTAATTCAAGTGACTTTCCGTTTAGGGCGGCAAAAGTGCTGCTTGTCCAACCTAAATCTGTGTGTGTCTTATATCTGTTTAATTGAATGTTACTTCAGAGAAATGTAGCCGACGTGGGAAACAACGGCATGGCCAATCCAAAGCTATTAGCCTAGTAAAGTTGACAAGTAAAGACAAGTAAAGTTGGTTGACTTATATCTGTAGTTGCCACCTCTACTGAAGTAGTAAACGTTAATTTAATTTCAAGTATGTATGTATCAGAGGTAAGATAATTTTGATTCAAAATATAGCCCATGGAAAAATTACTACTCTATTAACAAATTTACCAGTTATACTTAGTTAACACAAGTAATATTTGTAATTATGACTTATAGGCATCTAAAGATTTGTAAGCCTTCATTGACTCTCTCGTAAACATAGATGGCGTGTCGATGAGATACAGGTAGATGTCGCCGAATGTCATTTCTGGCCATGTGTTCGGGCTTTTGCTCCAATTCTCACTCAGGTGATATGGATCAGGCAGAGAACATGAACCCTGGTTATATAAAAGCTTTACCTTATATCTCCTTTTAGCTCCTTCGTACAAAGAATTATTATATGCTGACAGAACACATAGATTGCTGCGTACATTTTGGTTCTTTCTGCCAACCAGTTCACGCCCACGCCCACGCCCATTTCGTGACGTCACCTATGACGCCGAAAGCTGGCTGACCAAAGCTGGTGAGGTTGTGATCGTGAGACCCACGTCAAACAAGGCGTGAGGACCTCAGAGCGACATAGCTTCCTAATATGAATGGGTAAAATATAAGTTAAATAGAACAATCAAATGTATTGTAACTTTTATATAATTGACCAATAAATTGGCCATCTAACTTAAGTTCGAGGTTGTGATAAATGGAGTCAGATGTCAGATAAAAGCTTAAATGGAATTAAATTATTTTGCCACGCGGAAAGACATCAGAAACCTTCACCCGTTTCATCAGAAACCCCCAATTGGACCGATAAACGGGCTTAAAAGCACTCTAATGATCCTGATCAGAACCTTTGTGTTTTATACATAAACTTAGTTATCGTTTTCAGTTTATTCAAAAAAGCCAAATTAATTCATCCATCTGCTAACAAGTCAGTTGTTGTCACCCAATCATTTATCTAATGCTTATAATGAATAATTAATTATGATTTATGACAATCTGTACCCTTATGAACATCAAAATCATGAAAAACCTGTTTCACTATATCCAATTTTATTAGAGTTTAGAGTTATGCAGTGAAAATGTTGGGAACGTTGTTGGGAATGTATTTGTTTTTCAAGTATATATTTTGCATTATGTGCCTGTCTCTGTTCTGGGAAAATGACAATGAGTATTCTCTGACTATATGCATGCTTTACCTTTAGCGTCAGTTATATGACGCCCTAGGATCACATCATGTAACTGACGCTAAAGGGTGCCTAAAGCGTCAGATTTTGAAGCATGGTCAAAATTGTCAGTTAGATGACGCCTTGGGATGAGAATGCGTTGGCATATAATATGTTTTGCTCATTTATATTGTGCTCTTTAAAAATAAACTGCATTTTGGTATGGAATTAAGATTCCAATGGATCTGTATTATTTATAAATGAGAAACATTACACAAAGATTTTATTTTTGAAATCTGGCCATTCAACTGCAAGCGGTGCCATGTCCATTCATGTAGTTGCTCAGGTATACATAGTTCCCATATGACGTCACAACATACGGGCATTTGCCGATCCGGCGCCATTGCTGAGGGCAAAACTTTAAAGAAGCAATTCGAGTTAAACAAAGTGAAATGAGTTTCGTGCTAAAAAGTGAAAATGGTCATCTCCTGTTGGGTCAATGGATGATAAAATCGTGCCGGAGGTTCAGTTAAATCGGGATTTTACAGTATACCCGTCATTAGAATGTGAAAAGACTAAGCTTTTGTCAGAACAACGGCGGAGGTTATGGCTGGCGAAAGAAACTCACTCAAAACACGCAAGAATTTATTTGACAAAAGCACAATGTTGTGTTTTATTGCGAGTGTAAACAAATATAAGTTAACACTTTGCAGTTTGAATAATGTCATGTAATGACGAGGTATTAAAAACAAACACACATTCCAGCATTGCAATCTCAGATTATGTCCCTAAAGAACCCGCGTATACAGTAGTTCCACATTACATTAATTAATTTGCACGCGAGTTATTTATTTTTATATTCAGGCACCGAACCATGATGCCGTACCGACACGTTTCAATACGAATACATGTACCGTTCCACCTCTGTTCTTCAGTGTACAAATAAGTATGCATTACAGAAAGCACCGGTGACTGTTTTAAGGGGAACATAGGAATTAAGTTGTGCAGGCTATGGCTTTTTAATAGACAGATGGTCTAGCATCATGCTACTTCGCTATGATAAGTTATTTTTCCATTGATTGCACTTGAGCAAACGTCACCAAACCAACCCTCGGCAATCTGATTGTACGCCTCCAGTGATTTCCAGGCTCAGAATTGTTCACATGTGTAAAAACTCCTAGCCAATACCAGATAAAGGTAACGTTACACATGAAAATACTGTATCTTAGGCAAAGCTGCATAATCGTGCTCAGTGCTTCCTTTGTTACTACGGATCCACACCATTTATGAATGAAATTTTCGCATTGTACCTCTCTCTCTCTCTCTCTTGTTAATAGTCTTTTTATATTTCACTTTGTCTCTTCATGATTTGCGTAACATTATAAACAGAAATAAATATTTGTTTGTAAAACGACATTCTCTGATAAAACTTTGTAAACACCTATGGTAAGCAAAGTAGCTTATGCCCTCAAAGATGGTGTCTCCGGGGAGGTCACATGACATTAATTTGCCTGTGGGAACTATGTATTAGCATCACTCAGTCCAGTAAAATATCAGGATTTCTAAAGGAGAATCAAGGTTGCTTTGTCATTGAATAACATTTCTGAATAAGAATAACACAAATGTGTCTATGGATATATAGTACAAATTCATGTCTGCTGTGACATTTTGTAACAAATCGAGAAGTGTCTGTTGACAAAATGGAACCTGTTCGGTTTTCTTCGTGGTCTGCAGTAAGAATTTAGGGGATAGGCTGAAGTCAATTGTCTCAAACCACTGCTTATGGCAATAAACACAATATGAGGAAAACAAAAGTGTAATTCAAAACTGCAGACACATTTTATACTTGATACGCTGTAACCAAACAAACCAACACATTTTAAATATGACTTACTGGCATTGCAGTGCATAAAGCTTATAAAGCTTATAAAGCTCTTTCAAAAAAAAATAAGATCTGAGTTTCCCCTATTGGGGAAAGAAGAGAAATATATCACTGAACATTGAATCAAATCTGTTTTTAAGCCTGCAGAGGGAATCTGCTATCTCTAAATTACATTTAACTGAATGAATGCTAATTTGATCAAAACTTAATTTAAGCATTCAATACGAGTGACATAAGAGTTTTTGATGTTGCGATTATTTCTGACACACATAAAAGTTAGGCCTATGCATTCTTAGGTCTATCACGTAAAAGAATGCAAATTGTAAAATCTTATATGCATTGATCACAACTCACTCTCATGTAAATCTTCCAAATGGAAAGGAAAGATTGGTGTCTGTTTAGCTCAGTGAAGGGGAAAATAGAGAATGAAAATAAGAGACGTGTTTATTGGCATGAGATGGACGGAGATAACCCAGACCATGAATCTTAAATCAATGAGCTCTCGCAGAGTCGTTTCGTAGGTTTGCAGAAAATGAATGCAGTCGTTAAGAAGAATGTTTGTGGAAATGGTTTTGGGAGTTTGGGATGAGATTAGAGGCAAGCTAATCGAGACTTTTGAAACCATTAAACCAATTTTCTCGTTGTCTTTGGATTTCAGCGTGGTTCAGAACAGCGGTAGGCTCCATCCAAAAATGAGGTTTTCTTGGAAATTTATTCAAAAATGACTGGGGTTTATTCAGATGTTTTAGAGCACAACATATAATGCAAGTCATTTTTCCTCATACCACACGTGTACATTTGACCACACTTTTTAAATAGTAAAATGTCCGCCATGTGGGAATCTCATAAATATTGATTATTGTTTATACTAACGTTTGTCAGTCCCTGCTGATTTTTGTTTTTATCTGTCCATTTTAGTCTGTATATCAAAACACATGAAACCTCTCTGACTATTATCTTTCTTGAGATCGAGTGAGGTTCCCATGACAACTGTTGTTGCTGCTGATTGCATTACTCATTCATGTCAAGTACACTAGACAAGAGTCAGTATCTTGAAAGAAAACGGATACAAAATTGCTTGTTATGCCCTCAAGCCCGAAATGGAAAATGACTGACAGTATAAACTGAAATATCTCAAACTTTCTCAGATCTGCACTTAAAATGGAACAGTGCTTTTTGCTATTTTTTGCTATTTGATGTACGCCATCTTTCTGCTTAAAATAATGATTTAAAAAGAGGTTTCTAATATGAGCTTAATCTGGAATTAGTGTGAATTATTATTAAAACTAAAAGTCTGGGGATCGTATTATGCCTGGTTCTTGATTAATGTATAGTCAGACAAAACCAGAGTTGTTAAAGTCATGATGATAGACATAGTAAATGACAGATTTTTTTTTTTTTTTTTTTTTTTTTATCTATATGGGCCCTGTTCACATTTACAGGATTCTCAGGAGAGGAAATGATCATGTTGGATTTATGATGTTAATAACTGTGGAAACAGGGTTTTCTACGCTATCTCACGACCAATTTGTATGAATTCGTACAAGTGATTAAAAAGTGGCTAATTCGTATTAATTCATACGACCTCACTCATAGGAATTCGTACGATTTGTCCAAACCCACGTGTTGGGTAGGTTTAGGCACGGGATCAGGAGTAAGTCATTCGTACGAATTCATATGAATTGGCCAATTCGTGAAATATGTAGGATTTAGCAAAAATCGTACTAA